CCAATCGCTTTCGCATCGAGTTATAATCGTCCGCCATCGAGACAACATTGCAGCCTGCAGTCTTGGGCATAAAGCGGAAGTAGACTTGACCTAGTCTGGCACCCAGGTCACTCGACGCCGACTGACCGAGGAGCTCTCGATATGAGAATTCCGCCATACCAACAACAAAACCAACAACATACCAACCAGATCCATACACAAAAGAATTGTAGGACATGTTCACGAGTCTCCGGGAGAAATAAAAAAAAAGTAAATGTAATACAAGAATACATCAACACAATTTTTCCCTGGAGCGTAGTCATGTACAAGTTACTCAACCTCAATATCTACAACAGACTCATTAACTAGTAGCGAAAAAAACAACAACATTACTCTCAATTTCTAGCGCTTTTAGTCTACAGTTTTGAGTTGTAGGTAATCTGTATATGGATTATTCGATATTTGAAAGTGATATGGAAGTCAAAGAAAAAGATAACAAGGAAGATTTTCAAGAAAAAAGAGCAAAAAAACCTTGTTTTTCAGAAGTCTTAGGAGCTACAACACTGCCCTCTTCATCTCAACTGCACCAATGTAGTAACGTGTTGGCTCACGCCCTTGGGGAAGTAAATTCTGCAGACGATCATCAGCCGCAAGAAGAAACACAAACCTCAGCATTATCTCTCCCAACGACAGTTTTCAGCTCTGTACTGAACTCGGTGACCCAAAACAACAACAAAGATATCTCGCTATTTAAGCTTAATGTTCATATATGTATACCGGGGGAAGGTGAAATTTTTAATTTACAAAAAAATTTTCAACACCCTATCCACAACTAACGAAAAAATTAGGAACCCCCCCCCCCCAAAAATGAAAAGTCTTCCAAGGAAACTGCAGATTCAAATGACGACGACGACACTGATGATGATGATGAAGTTGATGATGATATTAATGATGCTTAAAATGATAAAAAAGACAATGATAAGTTACTTGTTGTTTTTTACCGTGTTCTCTATAAACTAATATGGCATTTAATCCGTTATTTGATCGAAGCCTCTACAATTTATACCTTGTTTTTCATTTGTATAAATTAAGATTTTAATTAATATTTTTAGCAATCCCCCTAAGCTACAAGCCTTGAGTTAATCAAATTCTTTTATCATATATCAAGTGTCAAAGTTCACTTTTCCTCGTATCTAATTGGTCGAGAGTGTACCACGTGAGAGTCACAAGTTTCCCAGGACTGTGCAATAATTGCCAATAAGGGACTGTGCAATAATTGCCAGGCTAGGAGGTAGGGGGGGGGGGGGGGGGGGGGGTGTAAAACCACCAGATTTCTTAAGCAGAAAATTAGTTAGAACCCCCCTCCGAAGCACAAGAAAATAGCTCTTACCTCCCCTCTGCTACATTAGAAATAACGTCGAACTTGTATTCACGGAGCTAACATCTTTGAATATTGGAAAATGTCGCCAGTCAGTAAATTTGTTAATGTCGGTAGTCAGCAAATTTGGTTCAAATTTGTCGCTAGTCAGTAGTTATTTTGTCCTGATTTGTCGCTAGTCGGTTAACCCCATTCAGACCCTGTCCCAGGGTTTCAGAGAGCAAAATCCGAGATATTTTCTTATAGCTTTTTGCTTTTCTAATGACCGATAAACCTATATATCCTTTAAATAAAATGCCGTATTTGTGCTCTTTTTCGGCCTCTTCATTTATAACATATCAAAAGATCTAATCTAAGACATCTAAGCAAATGTCACCCGATGTATGGCA